CTGCAGAAGGCTTTCCGGCGGCCGCCATGAAGGGCGGTGTGCCACCTGAATCAGGGCCCAGGGCTTCGGATTGACATAAGGGGTTTAGGGTTTAGGGCTAGGGTTTAGGGTTAGGGTTTAGGGTTTAGAGTTTAGGGTTTAGGGTTTCGGGTTTAGGGTTTAAGGTTAGGGTTTAGGGGGTTGAGGGTTTCGGCTTTAGGGCTGCAGTTTCGTCGGCACCTGATTACAGACTTTCTTGTCGCATCGCATCCTAAACCCCAACGAAAATCCCCAACTAGGGGGTGCCTCTTGGGTTTTGCTGGTGTCTGTTGGTGGCCAAAGAACTTGGGAGGGCCAGTTGTCCTGTTGAAGTCTTTTGGGAGGACACGGCGGGGGGGGGGAGGGGGGAGTTAGGGTTTGCAGGGTTTGTAGGGTTTACAGGGCTTATAGGGTTTATAGGGCTTATAGGGTTTATAGGGTTCAGGGTTGAGGCCTTGGAGCTCAGGCCTGTTGAAGGCTTTGGGGCACCTCCTCGAAGCCACTTGGGGGGAGGGCCTCTTGGGACCGTTTGTTGCTGCCTTGTGGGGGGCCTACCCTAAACCCTAAACCCTAAACCCTAAACCCTAAACCCTAAACCCTGCTGCATCACCACATGGGTAGAAGCCAACAGCTGCACCTACGCCAAGTCGGCTTCCCTTGATTTTTGCCTGGAGGGCTTAGGGTAATTACCAGGGCTTGGGGGCTCGAAGCCCTAGACCCTGAAAAACCCTAAGCCCTGAACTTCTAAACTCTAAACCCTATACCCAAAACCCCAAACCCTGAAACCCTAAACCCTGAAACCCTAAACCCTGAACCCTAACCTAAACCCTAACCCCAAACGCTGAACCCTATTCCTGGAAGGCCTTGGTTGCAAGGCAGCAGTCTGGGGAACCTCTGCGAGGGGTGGGCCGAGACACTTCTTCCGTGTGGGTCCATAGGGCTTAAGTTTAGAGTTTAAGGTGCAGAATTGAGGCCAACGAGAGCCATGGTTGGTCAACTTCCTTAGAGACTTGGGTTGTGGAACCCCAAAAGGATCACAAACCAAATCAACAAAGTTCAGCTGCTGCTGTGAAGACGTGCCTAAACCTTAAACCCTAAACCAAATGCCCGAAGCCCTGCGAAATGCCACAGGAACATGCGAGAACGCACAACGCACCGGTTTGGGGGCTTTAGGTTGGCAATTACAATCTCTCAAGTCAGCCGCCAAAGAGGAGGTTCTGCTTCATATATAAGAGCCATACATTGAGGGTTTAGTAAACCCTAGACCCTAAACCGCAATATAAGAGCTATACATTGAGGGTTTAGGGTCCCCTAAACCCTAAACCCTAAAACCTAAACCCTAAACCCTAAACCCTAAACCCTAAACCCTAAACCCTAAACCGCAACTTAGGTTTCAGGGCATCTCAATCGCGGCTCCCGAATCCCGCAAGCAGTATCGGCCTCGGTGGCGGCCCGTCTGCCTCGGCACTTGGTTTAGGGTTTAGGGTTTAGGGTTAGGGTTTAGGGTTTAGGAGAGACTCGTCCCTTGAGCTATGGCCTTGATAGGCCAGAGACCCCCATACCATATTAACCCCAGACCTTAAACCCTGGACCTGGACCCCGGGGCTGTGTCGGCGTGAGAAAGCTGAGGCGACGGCCAGTAGTGGCCGACCTGTGAATTCACACTTCCCTACCTGAAGAACCCGATATAAGGCTCTGGTAATACATATATATATACACATATATATTTTGCTTTTTCCACCTAACATCGGTTTCTTTTTTGGTTTTAATGGTAGGCCTGTAGATGTTGTTGATAACTTCATGACTAGCGACTAGAGGTTTCAAGGTGACTCGCGCTACTCTGCTGCAAGAACTTCATTCGGGGAGCATGTGATTCATTCGAGTGCTGTCCTGACCCATTTGCACAAAATTTGAGCACCAGGGTCAGTGTTCGGAGGTTTGGCCCTGAGCCCTTACCCCAAACCCCAAACCCTAAACCCAAAACCTTTAACCCTAAACAACCCTCAACCCTCAACCCAAAGCCTACATCTGCTGGGAGTTCCGAGTTTCGGATCGGGAGTGCAGGCTTCTAACAATGCAACTGACGCAAGTGGGAGTTGCCCAGGGGGCTCGTGGCATCCATACGGTTGTTTAGGCTCTTTGCCGCTTTGCCCTCATGGATGCTTCAAGCTGCTTTCCTGCCCCGGAACCCCACATCTAGAAATCCTGTCAAGACTGCTTCATCTTGTCAGGCCTTCAGAAGCCACAAGTGAAACCCTAAACCCACATCAAATCCAACACCCAGGACCCAAGCCTTTAAACCCTGAACCCTAAACCCTGAACCCAAAACCCTAAACCCTGAACCCTGAACCCTGAACCCTAAACCCACCCTCCACCCCACTCCGGACGACCCCCATTGCCTGGGAGTCTGAGTAGTGGCGATGGCCCATGCGCGTTCGCCACGCTGTGGGCCTCTCTAGAATTTGCAGAGCTGAAAGGGTTTGGGGTTTTGGTTTGGGGTTGGCGGTTTGGGGTTGGGGGTTTCGGGTTTAGGGTTCAGTATGGGCAGAGAGAGAGAAAGAGGGAGGGAGGGAGATGGAGTCAGATGGAGACGGAGAGGCAGATGCTATCAAGCTCTTGGGGCCTCAAACCTTACAACCCTAAGCACGACATCAAAACCCTAAACCCTTAACCCTAAACCCTAACGCACGAAAACTTGAAAGCCCGACAAGGCACAAATCACCTTAAAAGCGGCGGAAGCCACACAACGCAAGGACCCCACGTTATTGTTGCTTGTTATGACAAACCGAGTTCTCAGGCAACCTGTCCACAGAAAAAAGGCTTGGGATTCTTGATAGGTTCCGTTCCAAACCTCGACGCCTGGACCCCAAACCCCCCTGAAGTCCAAGAACCCCAACGCCTAAGACGCCAGAAACGACACCCCACAACCCTCAAGAAAGCCAAAACGAACCCCAAAACACCTGAAATCTAAACCTCGAACTGAGCCCTGCGACTCTACTACAATCCTAAAACCTGAAGCCCTAAAGGAAGCCTTTAAGCCCACAAGATCCAAAAAAGCAAAACCCTAAAAATCACTAACAACCTACAAAGAAGCCCTAAAAGATGCTACAGTCTTTGAAACCCATAAATACCAATTCTACCACACCTTAAAGAAGCTGCTAGCTGGGGTCCTAAGCCCTAAGCCCTAAGCCCTAAGCCCTACCACTGGAGCCCTAAAGCTAGTACCCTAAATCCTGAACCCCAAACCCAAAAAACCCCAAAACCCTGAACTAAAACCCCAAAACCCCAAACCCTAAACCAAACGCCTAAACCCCAAGGAAGCCACGGGCCCAAAAGCCACACAAACATAAGGATTCTAGAAACATGGTTTTCCAGAATCCGCCAAACCCTAAACCCCAAGGAGGCCCTGAAAGGGCTGAAGTCCTTAAACCCTAAACCCTAAACCCTAAGCCCTAAACCCTAAACCCTAAACCCTAAACCCTAAACCCTAAACTGAACCCTAAACTCTAAACCCTAAACTCTAAACTCTAAACCCTAAACGCTAAACCCTATCCGCTCCTGCGCTGTGCGACTCTCCGGGATGGCGGTCATGCGGGGCCGCACGTCTGGCGCGCGTTGCTGGGTTTAGGGCTTGTAAGGTTTAGGGTTTCGGGTTTCGGGTTTAGGGTGTTGGGGTTTAGGGTTACTTTTTGACTTTGAGACGCAGCCAGCTCCATGTCAGCTAACTAAGCGTGCGCTACATCCTACCAAGCAGGACGGCTCCTCAAGGGAGCAGATACCGAAAAACAGAGACGACCCGTAGGTCCAGACACTGTACGCACCAGTGAGAGCGTCTGAAGGAGAGAAAGCTGTACAAGCCACTTACTTCGAAAAGCCTAGAGGCTACTATCGCACTCAACAAGGAGGGAAACCTCGGAGTGCTCAGAAGAAGTTAACGATTGTTTCGTGCATCAAATCCTCTGCTCCTTGCGCACATGCATTGGAAAGCGCAAGAGGCCAGAAAGAAGCGCGTTGCACCAGATAACTGTGATGCCAGAAGCATGGTGCAGCAACTCTTTTTCGCGCTTGGCGACCGCGGAGGACAACCGCACGTCAGCCGTGCCAGAAAGAAAGGAGATTTCCTTCTCGCCAAACCCCAGACTATTCCCTAGTCAAAGACCCCGGAGGCGTTGCATGAGATGCCAAGCGCAAGAGCAGCAAGTAACCATTAAGCCCTGCTAGGGAATTTGCCTGGTCCTGGGTGTAGGTGATTGGGCTCTTAGCATCATCATGCAGCTTCCATGCCCCGTCTTCACAGCGGAGAAGCGCTGTGTAGTGGCCTGAGCGTGGGGAGTGCCCGCGGTGCAGGATACAGGCTTCAACATGGTACGTCTCTGACTGAACTGCTCGGTGCTGCCCAACAAACCGAGGCACCATCAGTGTGCCAGCAGTGAGCAGTTCATACTTTACCTGCATGGCACGGGCGCGAGCTGTGCTAGCATATCGAGGTATGCGTAATGCTAGGATATACGGGGCGCGCAGCAGCGCCTGTCGAGGCTCTTGCATGTGCCACTTGTCAAGAAGCGCTTGCAAGGTAACCTCTGTCAGTGAAGGGAGAAGCGAGATTGGTTGGGAGACGCAGCCGACATCAGTTACTTCCGCTTGTGGCTGGGAGTGCCTGCGAGCTTGCCAGTCGCCCGCACAGAGGTCCCCGAGCAGCCTTGGCGCAAAGTAGGCGTAAAACTCAGCCACGTCGTTTTGCAGGGCTAGGTTGGGCCATGCACACAGCAGGGGCTTGAAAAGCTCCAGCAGGCGAACCGGCTTACTGTCTTGATGCATGCTAGAGCAATACCTCCAAAGTGCAGATGTCTTAGATTGTATGGCAAATCTACAGGACCACAGACAGCTGATTACTGCACAGTTAAGGTAGCAAAGATTGTGTGGGTTATGGGCAGGGGCGTCAAAGCACGGTAGAAAAATGGGATGCAGGCCTGCAGTGGAACTCATCCCCATCTGCGAGGAGCTGCGCCCATCTGCTGCTCGTACTGCGCAATCATCTTGGATAGGCGCTGCGCCATGGGGCTTCTTCTCATGCCCTCCGGCTTCAAAGAGGCATCTATCATGGATAGCGCCGGGTGGCCACAGAGCGCAAGGAGCCCCGAGTGGAGCGAGGACTTCCTGTTGCTCACCTCGATCAACATCACTGCCTTGCGCTGTCGCTGGATTTCGTGCCATTTCTTCAGACTGTGAAAGCGTAGGACCAACGTGGTATCCATCAAGTCGGCTTCCAGGCTCTGCAGGATTTTCACGGTCTGGTCGGTGGAGCATGCTGGGCGGCATGAGTCCGGAATCATTTTCTGGGTGTCTGGACACCACCTCATCATGGTCCAGGCCCCGGCACCCGCTCCTGCTTCCGTGCTTGCCTTGAAGAGCCCCGTTTCGGTCGCCTTGTTCTGCAGTTCTGATGTCTGGGTGAACGTGGTGAGGCGCGTCAACATCTCTTTGATCAGGCATCGCATCAGCAGCGTGCGAAGGGGCACCTGAGGCTGCGTAGCACTCGACGTCAAGGAGGCGTTGGCAGACTCCCCTGGGTCGTTGCCAGTAGAGCTTGTCTGATGTGCTTGGTGCGTCGCATGCCACTTCTGAGAGACTTTGACCAGAGCCTCGAGGACACTGCAGCCTCCCCCCCCCCCAAATGAAGGACAAAGCCGCGGTCGGCTCGTGTCATCTGGAGGGAATCCTCCTGCTGGAGCGTGAGCTTCGCTGAGACCAGGTTGATGGCTGTGAGCGGGTCGGGCTGCGGATAAGACATGCGGGGCGGGGCAAACTGGTAGCCCATGTGCTGCTTCCCGCGCGCATGAGCTGGTGGGGTCAGGAGGAACTCGTCCGGCCCCCGTCGTCTCTTTGGCCCTGGCGTCATCATGGTGCTGGTAGGAGCTTCTGCCAGAGGTGCTGGTGCCGAGCGAAACATATCGCCCCATGTCTCCACAAGTCCATCCACGTACTGCGAGGGCTCGGCGGTATCCATGCTGTACATGGCTGGGCTGTCGTGTGGACTCAGGGTTCACCAAGATTTGCAGCGCGACCGCTTGAAAGACAACAGCACAAGTTTGCACATGTGACCGTGGCTGTTTGACGGTCAAGCAACAAGCTAAACACGCATGACCAGCCATGGGTGCAAAGTACTGTGAGCTGCGCTTGTGCATCTCAAGCGTGAGAGCGCTTATTGCTTCCCAGATGTCCTGATGTATGCGGCGCCAGTGGTGTTTGAAGCCAGGGCTGCCTGCAATCCATTGTCCGCAGATTGGACAGTGCTGTCTCAACCACGCTGCAACACTAGCATCCCGGAATAAGTCCCCCCAGGCATTTGCATGCGGCTGCATGAGTATCTGTTTGGCTTGCGGAAACTTATTGAGGAAGACAGGAAATTCGAGGACATGAGTGTGGGTAGGGTAAGTTGTAGAGGGGGTAGGGGGTTGGTTATGGTTAACGGACTCCATCTTCCAAAAACTCCTCAGGCCCTCACACGCAAGAAGTCGCACATGTTGCTCCAGAACCTGCCATTTGGGGAACGCTGTCTTGCAAAACGAGCAGGTGGGCAGGCCATTGAGGCCTATGTCACGAGCTCGAAGGGTCGATTGCACAGGACGTACTGCATGCTTGCGCCTTTGGTGCGTTTTTAAGCCGCTGTTCGTCGTGAAGGCTGCGCCGCAGACGTCACAGCAGTGCCTGGCCTCGTCTGTTTCCTGCACAAATTCCCTCATCGCCTGTGTAAAGGTCGAAATGGCATGTGTGATTTGCGCCGCAATCGCAGGATCCTGAAGGACAGTGTCTTCCTTCGGGGCCTGCGCCAGCTTTGTTGCCAAGGTGTTCCCTCGGAGAGCAAGTGTGTCGTAGTACCAGGCAACGCCTGTGCGTCCTAGGAGGTCAGCAGTGGATTCGCGGGTGATGTGCACAGGACTGGCACAGACCGCCCTTAGTTGTTTGACAAGAGCAGTGTGCAGAAGACGACTGCCGCTCTTGGTGACTCCCACGACGTGGAGCGCATAGTAGAAGATCGGCTCCAGGCACGCCCGCCACAGCCTTAGTCTGGTGTGTTGTGTTAGGGAATGATGGCCATTCAGCAATTTCCGGAGTTGATGATATCTATGCTGCGCTTTGCGAATGTTTCGGCGCACCGTGGCATCTTCAAAATTTTTGTAGGAAATGACAACCCCCAAGTAAACCGCAGTAGTGTGAAGAGGAATGCAATCAACCTTACCAGTGGGGTTATTAGGGTTAGGAATGCGGAGATATGGCCCTGTGGGGGAACGTCCCTGACATTGTTTTGCAGCCTTACGAAGGGCTCGGCCTCTGACTTCAAGCAAGGCCACAGACTTTTGCGCGTTGACATCGAGACCAGCATCCCGCAGGACTGCAAGGAGAACCCCTGCCTGCTTGATGGCTGCTGCCAGGCCTTTGGTGTCGTGAAAGGTAAGGCCGAAATGATGATCATCTGCGTATAAGGTGAGTCCCTTTAACCAGTCATATGTTGACTCAAAGTTTTCCAGAGCCATCCCGACGCAAGAGACCAGAGAAGAGGAGAGAGCGGACAGCCCTGTCGTATACCGTTTGAGGTATGGAGTGTTTGCTGTGCTGCCCCTGAGCTCACGACGTACTTGGTCGATCGCAGGAGTGAAAGCACCACGGCTTGCAGCGGCTGCGGAACCGCCGCAGCCTGAAGGGCATGTTGGATGTGCGACCACCGAAGGGTGTCAAAGGCTTTTGAAAGATCAAGAGCCAGCTGTAACGCACCAAAGCCCGAGCCACCGGCAGATTTGCAGGTGCCATCGTGCCGTCTCTGTATACTCTCTGTGTAAGCTTGCGTCTGCTCACGAACAAACCTGCAGTGGCCAAGTACCTTGGCCAAGCTGTGGTATATATTTCTGTTAGAGGTGTATGCAAATTGAGGCGTGTCAAGAAGAAAGGTGGTGACATATGGTTGAAGTTTGTGCTTAAGCAGTGTTGCAATAAGCTTAGCTTCACCAGTCATTAAAGCCAGAGGGCGCAAGTGCTCTGGTCGCGTGGGGCTTTTGCCTGGTTTTGGTATCCAAACCAGCCACCCCGATGACCAGCTGCGGTCTAGTTTTGGTTCCAGACCAGGGCGCCAAGCACGCTGCAAATGCTGGAGCAGCGTCGGTAGAAGCATATCCCCGCCCGCTTGAAAAGCGGAGACAGGGGCAGAGTTCGGTGGGACTGCCTTGTTGGGCTTAAGAGCACACAGAGCTTGCTGCAGGTCTTCCAGCGATATGTGCAGAGGCGCAGACAGTGGGAACGAGACAGTTTCTCTGGGCTCGCGGCAGAAGGTACTCTTGCCATACTTGATGAGCGCTTGAAGGCCTTCTTCGTCGTTAAGCATCATGCCAGCGGGGGACCGGAGCTGCACTCTTTGATGTGTTTGTTTAGGCGCCAGGCGTTTGACTACTTGGTACAGCCCGCGAAGATCGCCCTGATGTTTCGCCTGCTCCGCTTCATCAATGGCACGCAACAGTTTTTGCTTCCTGGCCTGTCTCCCGGCACGCTTACATTCACGGCTGCAGGCAGCAACAGCAGCAGAGTGCTTCCAGTACCTGGCGTCGGATACTCTGTCTGACCTGGCAGGTCTGCCAGGGAGAGGAGGAGGACTGCCTCGCAGCCCGTGGGAAGTGTTGCGCAGTGAGTGCACTGAGCGCCTGATCTAGCGCTGACCGGTCATCGGTATTCGTTTCAATAGTCTCCATATTAGCAGCCCAGCACTGACTTTCAAGAGTGTTCTGTGTAGCAGCATGGCGGAGCGCGCGTTCGTCCCATTTTGCAAGGGTAGGAGTTTGGCGTTCGCGATAGCGCCAGGTGTGAGCCTGCAGCTGAGTGCGCAGCATGAGGTGCTTACCACCTCCACGCCAGTCGCCAATCGGAACAGGTGTGACTGTGGTGCGCGGTCTAGCATGTCCCGCCTGCGGCCCCCGGGTGAGGAGATAGTCGATGACGCTGTTGCCCTGAGGGGATGTGTAGGTGGGACAATGTCCTGTGTGGGTATTGAGGGCAACCAGGGAGTATAAAGTACACAGCGAATGAAATTGCTCAGCATCAGTTTCAGGCCTGTCAGGTGTGTAGAAGCGCGGCCCCGTTATGATGTTATCACGAGGAAGAACAGTGTTGAAATCCCCCCCAATGAGTAGCCCATTCCGATGCGGAAGTGAGCTGAGCAAGGCTTCAAGTTGCTTCCAGACGGGCTTTCGGTTTCGGACGTTCTTTTCTGCGCTGTCCTCCCGCCTCCAAGGAACCTGATAGACATTGATGATATCCCAGGTTTGCAGCTTAAGTTTAACCCGGACGTGGAGAAGTCTGCCTGGGATCCATTCATTGTAGCTTATGTGGGAAGGGGAGGCAAGTTTGGAGTGAACTGCCAGCAAAAGGCCAGAGCACCGTTCCGTGCCTCCAGAGCTTATCATTCTATATGAACCCTGCTCGAACTCCCTTGCTTCTGTCCAGTGGGTCTCTTGGACAAGCATGAGGTGGGGCTGAGCAGCGCTCATCCATGTGCACATTTCGTCGTACGTCAACGTGGTGGCCCCCCCTATGTTAAAAGAACAAACCTGCAAGTTAGGTCTGAGTGGAATGTGCCGAGCTTGCCTGACCAAAGGTAGCGGAGCTGCTGGCGGAGTATACCTGTGTGCCTGCAGGGCGGCAGAGGTGAAGGTTTGTCCCCTATACGAGGTTGTTCCGCAGCGCTGCGCTTGTTTTACTGCACGCTTGTACGCACGCTTGGCCAGCCAGTTGGGGGCTGCCGGCCTTGAAGGATCAGTTGCTGGCCTGTCAGCGGTCAGGACAGGTTTGCCAAAACATGGACGAGTGAGTACACAGAAGCCAGTGACCAGCTTGGTGCCCCACCATTGTGTGCCCACGGCAGCAGTCGGCCTGGTTGGATGCCGGGGAGCTTGCAAGTGCGGAGAAGCAGTGCGCAACCGTGCATTGTGCGACGCAGGCAACACATTCCATTGCATATATTCGCGGATGTGCCCAGCGCATGCCCCAGCAGGAGTGTCCATACCGTCAAGCTCGCGGCGGACTTGGTGAACAGTGTCAGGGTCGGAAAAGCGCACCGCGTATCCTCCTTCCAGATCAACGCAGTCCCTGAAAGGGCCGAAGGATGCTATGTACACAACAAACTGGTTTCGCGGCATACAGGTAGCGACTAAGGCCCATCTGCCAGCGGAGAGCTTCGTCTCCGAGGTGGCCGTCTGTGAGCCCTGGATATCAGAGGTTTTCCCCGGGGCGTTAGCCGCAGAGGTTGTCACAGCCGCAGCAAGCCTATCGCTCATGGTCCAAGTGGAAGGAACGTTTGCCGGCGCCGACTCTTCGTCGAGGGCAGGCTCTGTTTCAGCTTGGTTAAGGTGGAGGAGAGGAAGTCCCTGAACCTGGAGATGATGCATCGAGGTAGACGAGGCCTGATCATCCGGGTCCTTCGCTCCACTGCCCGCAGCTTTGGACGGCATGTCCACATGCTGCTGACTGTAGACCGTGAGTGGCGGAGGAGCGCGCCTAGGCTGATCATCAGCGAGTGGTTCGTCAGGAGGTCCTTGCACAGCAGGCACTGCAGCAGGTTCGGCTTGTCCGGCTTGACGAACATGGCGCCATGGCCTTGCCTTTGACCTGGCTTTGTCGGCAGCAGAGCGGTGCCGGGGCATATGTAGGCAGGCCCCGTGTCTGTGTCCGAAAAGGCTTCGGCGCAGCAATGCAAGTGGGTGCATGCAGGAGTGTGCCCAGCCCAGGACACGCAAGGTGCCTTGAGCCCTCAAGGCAGGGCCCTGGCCAGCGTAGCCAAGCAGGATGTGCATCAGAGCGGCGGACCAGGTCCTGCGCGCATAGGGATGCGTGCGGCATCGCTTATGCCATGGGATCAGAACGAGGACTGAGCGCGGCGCCTGCAACGATGTATCAGAACGAGTATCTGACCTGTCAGGTCGTGCGTCAGAACCCCGCACGTGGGAATGGGGGCAAAAAGGAAGTGATGCACTAGTAGGAACATGCAGAGAAAGAGAGAGGGGAGGAAGACCGAGAGAGGAAGGAGTAGAAGAAAGAGGAACAAATCTGGTGCAGAGGGTGGGCGCGTGGCTGCATATGTTCGCCAGATAAGGAACACAATCGAGCAAAAGAGGTCTGGCTTCAGACCACCCTGCAGCAGGGAGGTCAACCCTCACATCTTCACCGCCCACTGAAAAGACGATGAGCTCGGACTTGGGACCGAGCCGGCTCGCAGTTGTTTGTCGCACTTGGCCTGTTGTCCAGGCGAGTAGGGCATCACAAGTCTGTGATGGTGGGAGTGTGTCGTTGGTGCGCAAGGGGCACGGGTCTCGGGAAGAGATAGCGCGGTCATGTGCTGGGCATCCACGCTGGCCTCTGTATGCGTGAATGCCGGTGCGAGGGATCCCCGAAGGGGCGACATGAAGGGGTTCAGTGCTAAGAAGTGCTGTCAGCCAGCAGTTTAGGCACGTCAAACCCGGGTTGCGTCTCTTCTTCCCACTTGGCAGGACACAATACATGATCGCGCTTGCAGCTGGCTTTTTCGCATAGCGTGCTAGTGCAGTGTTGTTATCAGCATCGATTTTGCCACCATCCTGTTTGCTCAGAGAGTGGCAAGGCGTGGCAAGACTAGTTTGCGGGTTACCACATTGAAACTGGCCTAAGTCGCTCGGTCTTGCCGGCCTGTGATCTGTCCACATCTGCCTTACTAGCTTATTCCGCTCGCAACAACAAAGCTGACAAAGGAGTGCGCAGAGACGCAAGCAGCCTACAGCCCGTGTCCTCTTTGCTGGCAAGCGCCGATCGCGCCTGCTCAGACAGGGGGGGTCTCTTACGGGTGAATGGTAATGGTAAGCTTGTAGAGCTGATTGCATGACAAAAGACTGGGCTTTCCTTACTGTCTTAGAGGCCGGCGCATGCATCGGAGGCGGCGGTCTGCACAGACGCGCCGAAGATGGGCCAGTAGAGCGCCGACAGCTGCGGTGCCCAGCGCTACACGCGCTTGCAAGAAGTGCGGCTGGCACGCAACTCGATCTGTCCTGTGGGCCTGTGATGCACTGTCTTAAGGCTTTATCCGTCTGACCTGCAGCATTTTGATGGCCAATCTCGAGCTGTTTTACGCCGAGGATACCTCGAGGCGATGGCTTGAGGAGGAGAAATGGGGCGGAGCCACAACGCTGTCGCATGTGCAGCGACGTTGCTGCAAGGAGACAAGGTCTATGCTTCGGCATCTTTGCGGCGCCCCAAGGCTGCAAGAAAAAGCATCTCTCCTGAAAGCAATGGAGAGGCCAAGCAAGGGGGAGCGCACACAGTTCAAACTGTTTCACAACCCGAGTGCCGGCGTGAAAAGCGCTGGGCATCAGCGCCTTGGAAACGCGGCCTTTGCATGCTGGTCTTTGCAAATACCTACGAACATGCACATGAAGACAATGCCCTTTCATTCCTACTTTACCGAAACTGTTGCACCAAGAAGCACACGGCCTGGCACCGGCCGGCAATCTCCGAAGGTTGTCAG